TTCTTAATCAATCCCAACCCTAATATTTAGGGTTCAGGGTTCAGGGCATCTGGTTTAGGGCTTACTTGGAGGTTCATGGGTAGTTATAAGTGGAGTTTTAAGTGCCCTAATATAGGCTATAACTATAGTTTCCCTACGTATAACCCTACCTATAACCTACCCATGAACCTCCAAGTGATCCTCAGGGTGGAGTTAGGATTAGGGGGACCCTTGGGGATATAGACCCTCTCAATAAGGTCCCCTTTAAGAGAGCCACTATTGGGGTTCAGAAGGGGTACCCCTAAACCCTAAACCCTAAACCCTAGACCCTAAACCCTAAACCCTTTAAGGGCTACCTACAGGGTTTAGGGTTCGGAGTACCGGATCTGCGGCTGCAAGTCCCACCTGTAGACATTTGGCGTGAGGGTAAAAAAGGCTCAGAAGGCCAGGGTCCAAGCCCCTAACTTAGGGTTTAGGGTTTAGGGTTTAGGGTTTAAGGTTTAGGGTTTAGGGGTTAGGGGTTTAGGGTTTAGGGTATGCACAGTGTAGACATGAAAACCCTATGCGCCCACATTTCCGATCATCCCAGTATGTAAAGGTCCAGCCCTCATCCTGTTTAGATCCCAGTATAGGGACGTCAATACAGCTAGAACAGAATAGGGCTTTGTGTTGCTATCCTATAGTAGTATACCTATGCGAGGACAAAAAGGGGATAGAATACTGCTGCCCCCCGAAGCGGTGTCTAGTAAGCCGGGCCTCATGTTCTCTAAACCCCAAACCCTAAAACCTGGGCCTCATGATTCTGTTGTCCAGGTCCATCTTCGCCAGTTGCAAGCCTTTGGCATTGCCCCGCAGCTGCATGCAGCCCACCACAAACTCTTCCAAATCCTGGACGACTAGATGTGTTCGGGTTCAGGGTACAGTGTTTTGGGTTTCGGGGTTTTGGCTTTTACTGTTATACAGCTTCAAGCGAAGCCTTCAGGGGCTGGGGCTAGGACCGTTGTCACAGTGTCAGTCGTAAGCTGAGTAGTGGAGAAAACGTGCAAAAGCGTGTATTTAAACTCGTTCCCACTATCTGCGGGGTCCCGCAGCAAGACCTGACACACCCACCCACACACACACACACACACACACACACACACCCACACCCACACCCACACCACACACCACACACCACACACCACACAACACACACACACACAAAACACACACACACACACACACACACACACACACACACACCCACACCACACACCACACACCACACAACACACACAACACACACACACACACAAACTCACACACAAACTCACACACAAACTCACACACAGACAAACAAAGACATGGCCAGACATGCTCCAAGAGGCGGTTGGTCACGAAGGTGATGACGACACCGGAGACGATAGGCCTGCACTGCAGTTGATAGGGATCGCGTGCGAGCTCATGTACTTGAGAGTGCCCAATGTCTGAAGGCTCCTGTAGGCCTTCTTTCCATATCATGATTTCCAACAGTTTGCCTTCGTCCGTTGGCATCGGGTATAACTTTGATGCAGTTGCGTTCGGAAGCACGCGTTGCCTCTCTGCAATCTGCCGCTGTGCTTAGTCCGATCCTACCTCGGACGGGCTATCAGAAGACACCCAAAGTCAAAGGCACAATCGGCGGTGTGCCATCTCCTGTCTTTTCGCCTGATGCAGCCAAGCTGTCTTGTGTCGAGGCAGCTTTGCGGCCTCAGCCAGGGGGCGTCTGACTTCATCAACAGCTTGCTGCATGGCATCTCGCCAAGCTGTATGCAGAGAAGGACAGAGAGAGAGAGAGAGAGAGAGAGAGAGCGATATCGCAATGGGCAATGATGGATGGGGATGCGCCTAGGCGCCGGCCAGGGGGTCACTCCCCTTGGCTCTGACCCCTAGCAAAGCAAAGCAAAGTCATATCGCAGGAGCCAGCTATCTCTCAACTTGCCGTACCTCCGCTCGAGGTAATTCAAAGCCTGGTGCCATTCGACTTTCAGTCTGCGGGGGACGTACCCTTAAGGTTTCTTTTGACGTGTTGCCTGCCTCGCACCTGACCCCGATAGACTGAACTGTGTTCCTTTTCTCTCAGCACACCCACCGAGGCAAGTCGCACTTTTATCTTGTTGTTGCTTTGCTTGTCCTCGCAACCATTTGCCTCGGTGGTGTGCGCATGTCTTTCCTCTGGCACCCGCAACTGTCGGGGGCGCTTGACGCGCGCGGTGTAGGGGGTCAAACCCCTACACCCTAGCCCTGGCGAAAGAAAGAAAGAAAGAACGAGAGAGAGACTCTCGGACCTCAACCGTCCCTCATGTCCAGTGGAAGAAGCAGAGAGAGAGAGAGAGAGAAGGAATGGGGGTATCCCTCTTCATGAGGGCGGTGGGACCCCTCAGACACGGCCAGCCATTCGCCTGGCACATCAGAGTGCACGAGGCACCTGTCGTGCACTCCAGAGGAGCCATCAGGTTCAGCAAGGGAGACCAGGCTATCATAACCTGGCGAGATGGCAAGTGGAAGTGGGAACTGTACAGCCTAAGCAGGCTGCACGAACTCGGGGGGTACTCCCACGAGATCGTGATTCTTCCGAGAACACAAGACGGCAGCGAGGCACAAGCCTCAGAGGGAGCAGCGCAACGCCCAGATACAGGGCACACCAACACACAGACGGACCCGCCACCTGCAACCCACCCGGGGGGAGCCGGGACCCAACACCCAACACGACCCATGGCCGACCGACAACACTCCACCTGACCCCTCAGCTGCACTTCCACCACAACAAGAAGACCCGCAGCAGACGCCGACACAGCAACCACAGTCCCAACCACAGCCCCAGCCGCAGACACCCGCTCAGCAGGCCAACTCTCCTGCCCGCTCTAAAGCACCACCGCCACAAGTCATGGCAGCAGCCGCAGCCGCAGCAGCACAAGGAGACGAAAGCGAGACCAGCTGGCCGAGCCAAGACAAGGAGCCAGACAGAACAGACCTCATGCAACGCAGGCTAACAACGAGGCACCCAACACAGACGGAACAAGAAGCAAGAGCAGCAGCCGCGCCGAAGCCGACAGCGCGGACGCCGAAACAGTGCCGTGGCACCAGACGGCAACCACCGGAGCGGCGTGGCACCCAACGACGACTACCAGAGTGGGTCTA